TCTTATTTCTCAATAATAAGGACCATTACAGTCCATTATTTTCATTTATGTAGCAATTTGCAAAATCACTTTATAAAAATGCTGAAGGATTTTAAGTTTTTGACCGTTGCAGTTGTTAACATGTATCAGTTATTTATTTGCATAGATAATGGGTCCACTGATACAATAAATAATTAACTAGCCAAACTACAGTTTTCCTTGCCATAAGATTTCAAGTAGATTGTAAATCGCCATCATTTTTATTACGAGATGGTTCCAACCTGTTCAAAGTCAGCAAATGCCTGACAAACTCAAATATTTTACGTGTATTCTACCTTTTGGATCTTTTCTTATCTCTGGTTCTTTACATTACCTAACATTTGAACTAATCTTTATCTTTATCTATCGCCTAGACTTGCCTGACTTCAATTTGTTCATGTTGCTACCATTCCTACTTTATTACTGCCCAAGCGCGGGTTTATCTCTATTCGTAACTATGACTTCGGCCTAAAAGTTCAAACTGAAAATATAACACTATGAAGTGAACAATAACACTTTCTGTCATAAACGCAGAGGAAAAGTCGTTTAATACGTTAAATCACTCTATCTTCAAGTTACTGCGAAGATTTTCTTTTCGAGAGAGCGACAGATCTGGTGGAGGGTACATTGACTCCCGAACTGCCCTGGGATCTCTGTAATGGTGCGCCATTGTTGCAGTTATTCCGGGAACAGTTGACTTTTGTAGAATCTTTGACCAGTGAGCACGTGTCTATTCGACCAGTGACCACTCCTGAAGCCTTACCATAGATCTTAAATCTAATCCCCGACCGCTAGCAACGGCAGGTACTAAGCACTTTGCACCTGATTCGCACAAGAGACAATAGCTTCTCTATAAGAATGCCGTTTAAAGGGCCATATCTAAAGTGGCTAATCAGAATAATCTCGACATTGACTAACTACGCACTAAACAAATACGTTTCCACACAACCAATGTGTTGTAACTTTACTCTTAAACAATGCTAAATTTGTTATCGATAAGCCCATTACGTTAACAGGAGTATATTTTGTTGACATCGCATTAACTCAACGATTTAGTTTGTGTTGAAAGAAATATAATGTTTTTTATTAATTTTCTTCGTGTCAGTGTTTGAGCGCACATCTCGAAGTGTTTAGCACTGTTGCACCTATCATTCCGGGTCGTAGTGAATCCAAGATAATGTGATTACAAGACCCTTCCGATATTCAGTTCGCATTCTCAGAATTGGTGAATTAAATATTTCTTCTGCTTTTAGCTTGTGTCATGATATATTTTACTGATAATGCACGCAGTCCATTTCCTCCAAGTGCACAGCACAATAAATCATTGCCAAACGTTGAACGTCCCGTTAGCACTTTCTCCCCTATTACAAAGTTTTGATTAATATTACCTGGCTGTTATAATAGGCTAGATCAGTGCAAGGTTAGGCTTCGTTATCAATGTATTTAAATGCCTTCTCATTCGTTTTGAGGAATTCGGCTGATATTTCTGACAAAATGCAACAGTCATTGTTTCCTTGTATGAATAATTGTTATGTTTATTTGTGAAGATATTGTTCAGTGTTGCACAATGTAATTACTTAGTTTTCAACTAAGTATTTCAGTTTTTTTTTTATCCATATACTATATCCAACAGCCTTTTCAGTATAACTGGCTTTGCTCAGTTCGATATACACGAGATACAATATACGCACGTTATACACGTAAATTTTATTGCGCTTGTGTAGCTATATATGAATGTGGAAAAGCAAGGGTTCATGCTGATTAATAGCGTTTCACTACTCCGTAGGAATACGACGCTTCTGTTAAATATTGTTGACGTATCTGCTGAACTTCCATCTGCTGATATGTCGACTTGTCCATTTGCAAAAGGAGGTCATTCGGCCTGCCCGCTCTCCGAATCAGCAATTCATTTAAGTCCCATTCCCCTGTTTTCCACCATAATTCTGCACGTTCTTCCTTTCGAGCTAACAATCGAATTGATTGGGATTCAACCTGTCCCCAGGACAGTTCTACCATTTATTTGTATTAAACGCATCGAGAAGAGTATGGTCGACCCCAAGTATTTAAATTGCTTGCTAAAAGCAATTAATTTCAAAAGTAAGCAGGCGTACTGAGGAAAAGTAATTTTTTTATAGAAATGGGACACGGTTTGTCAGAACCTTTTTATTTGGATGTGTAACCCAACTATTTCAATTGCCAATATATTGAACAGCTAAACGCCGCTGTTTATCACTGCGACAAAACGTACGTTGGAAATCATTAATATCGTTCAAGTCAAATTGTAATATCGCGCAATCTTCGAAGCACTTCGTATAGAATTTCCTTTAATACTTGGGTGATTTTTGGCAGTAAGTTCTATCATTCATTTTAAAATTTCAAATTTTATATTCAATTTTCACTTAAAATGTGTATTAAATTCCAACAGGGTCTTGTTGCTATTTATTTGCTATTATTAGCAAGCTCTTTTCTAACGTCCTGTGATTATAACGACCTATTTACTGTCGGATTAGATTTTATCAACGTTTATAGAAATTGCGGTAAAATATGCAAAGTTGTGCCGTCTCAAAATCAAAACCACGATGAAACACCACGTAATAAATATATGTGGGAAACATTTCTACACGGAGATGTTTACGATAAGAGAAAAATTAGAAATATTGCGAAAGCAATTGGCTTGGTACCTGTCCTCCTGCTGTCTGTAAATGTTGTGCAAACTTTGCGTAAATCAACACTATCAGAGTAATGAGGTGTGAAATGGGCCAAGCACCTCCTCGTCAATGGCATCACAAACACACGAGATGCATAGAATTCAATATCCAAATACCCCTCGGGCTGAGAAATCGCCCTTTATTACAGTGTTTGAATCGGCCATTCGTATTCAATGTGTTCAAACGTTATCGAAACATCACGAGGTCAACAGGTTGGATCCGCGTTTACTGTCAAAACAATGACATGTCTCTTGATCCTGACTCCACTAAGTATTGATCCATGAAGTGACAGGATCTCCAGGCATTTAACAGGCACATCTTTAAAAGCTCGTCTCACTCACTGCGTTTGAAGCAGTTGAGCCCAAGGTTACAAACATGGAAATGTAACATGGTTAATTTACTTTAAAATCGTTTACAATTGCTGCAAATTGGAAACATAAAATATTTACTTTGTGATTTAAAAAAAACAAAAAAGTTAATTGTTACCCTTTCATGCATTGTTGCTTCAATTGAGATCTACTGGTTTAAAAATTCTACTAATTTGTTCTGTTCACTTTCGAAACATCGTTTTCACGTTGTTCAGGTATATTTACAACCGAGGTGATTACTTCCGAAGTAGTTAATCGCATACATATTAGAATCAAAGATAAGTTACACGACTGAACGATTCCATAAATATCTATCCGTACTCAGAAAATATTCTTTAATTCTTCGACAAATGAACGTTGCCAGTGGATTTATTTCATAGAAGCAACAATCCCTTTGGTTCTTAATGTTCCCGAAGTTGAGATCAGTCTGCACTTTGTGACACAGCTGTTAGAGTTAAACTTGCGGAGATTTGCCAAAGTCCCGTAAACCGACTAAATACAGACACCAGAATCACGGCTCGGGACAGTCTGAGAGATGAGGTCAGGATAACCGCCAATAGACTGGTGTGGTGGAAATATGGATGCGGAAGGCGTCCAACCAAAATATACAATGCGCAAATGTGCATTAAGTAATCGCTCTGGGACGACTTTTGCTACACTTTGGACTTGACTAAATGACATTTAATCATATTTTTCAACGTTTTCGGGCTATTCAATCATTGAAAAACAACCTGAAGTTAAATATACCAAACAATTTTATTTGGAAATGTTGCTTAATTTTTTTTTCTCTTTTCAGGGATGTATCTATTCTTCGCACGTTACATAAGAAAGGAATAACAAGCTAAATGAACGTATGACTAAAATGGTTGGAATATTTCGGACAATAATCCGGCTGCCTTGAGACTGAGCAACAATGACCCGTCTGTTTTATCTCCTTTCTTGTGCTTTTGCCCAGAACACCTTGGCTGGAGGTATGTATAGTGGGTGCTGTAATGTTTTTTCAAACCACCTCTTGTGCAGGCAGCGTGTAATTCAGAAAGTTCAAATTACAGGGGAAGTGCTGAAGAAGTGTCCTGTTTCTGTTCACACGGTTATACCGCAGCTTAGCCATGCACCGAGTACAAAAGCGACTCTTTTTTAAAAAAAAAGAAAATCAATGGGTGCTTCTGTCTTTCACTGTGTATAGACACTTTTAACAACCAAGCTTGGTTTACATGGCACATATATATGCGTTTATAACTGCCTCGGAGATTTGACTTCGGGGCTTGAACTTAGTGGAGTACATGCCTATTTGTGTTATCGATCCTGAGCTTGTGTTAAAACTATGTTTCCTTCGAATGCAGCCTTAATTGAACTGTGATTTTGTAAAGGGAAAAAGAAGACAATACTCTTTCTCTAGAGAGATTTGCCACTTTGTTTTTGCAACTGTGCAAAGTAGAATCCGCACTACACAAATCTACTCATTTTACCTATTTATCACTAAAATCAAGCAGGTTCCTGTCCAAATACTGAACCATACTTCTACCAATTAACAAGACAGACATAATAATAATTTATGTTTTAATACTTTCCAAAGAATAATCAAATGTGAATCTTAGACAATTGCATGAACTTACATTTTATAGATTCAAGTATAAGTCTATCAGTATGGAAGGAGTCGTGAAGCTTTACTGCAAATGTAAGACATCTGTTAACATTGCATAGTACTGTTTCCCCTCCCCAAAACAAAGTTTGCAAGTTGCTCTACCAGTCGATTCCCTTTTAAGTGAGCTCTGTGCTGAGCTTTCCCACGCTTCCCTCGACCCGCGTGTTTGACGTACGGAGACGTCATCCTGCCTGCCCACCAATCGGAAAGTGGAAAGGGCGGAGCGACAGTGGAACCTGTCAATCAAAGCAGCCAGACATTGCAACACTGATATAGCTTATACCGTGGGAAAGAGCATTAGACTGGGTTCAGGCTGCCAACAGCGAGCAGGATCTGTGCTTTCAACTCAAAGACCACGCTTCCAAATACAGGTCGTTGACAGTTTTTTCCCGTGGAAATGAAGCGCCCTTGCGAAGAGAGTTCTTCAGACAGTGATATTGATGAAACTATCGACGTGGGGAGCGAAAATAACTACGGAAGGTAAGTGTAGGGTCGTTTTCAACTTTGTATATATTTTTGTGACACCTGTTAATCCTATTCCCTGATGCTTGTCTCGAACGAGAACCAGGCTGACGAGACGTCTTTTTGTTTCAACAGTCAGGGCAACAATACAATTCTAAGAGCTGGCTCCCCGTCTACAACGTCTCAAATTTTGGCCAGGAAGAAGAGAAGAGGGGTGAGTTGTTACTTTATCCACCCCTGTACACGTTCGTTCAAATATTTAACACGCTGTAACTGTACGGTTTATGTTTTCTTAGATCATTGAGAAAAGGCGTCGAGATCGTATTAACAATAGTTTGTCGGAGCTTCGTCGACTAGTTCCTACCGCTTTTGAGAAACAGGTACTTAATACTGATTGTTTTGTCCTTCGGTCTTGTGCTCGATTAGTCAAATAGTTTTCAAAGTGTTATTTGTGACCCCTGCCGTATCACAGTGACAAACTAATTGTAAATTCATAATGGATTTAATTACTGATCGTTGTGCTACATAACCACTTTTACGGATGCTCGAGTGAAACGCTGATCTGAGCGCAATGCTCACATCACCAGATTAAATCTGAAAGCGAATCTGTCAAAATAATTGCCATAATTTCCTTCTTTCCCAAGGGTTCAGCCAAGTTAGAGAAAGCGGAAATACTTCAGATGACAGTGGACCATTTAAAGATGCTGCGGGCGACCGGAGGTAAAGGTAAGGAGTTAATTGAGTGCCTCTTCAGAAGCGATTTGAAGAGGTAGTCTACGTAAATAGCACATTGACAATTGTGGGCGGGTCCGGGTGAGTGCAGTGGAAATGCTAATAGAATCAGTGAGCTCGTGGGAAAGAGCCGGCGGGACAAAAGCAGCACTTGACCTCGGCTTCTGTTTGCTTTCCTAACACTGCGGGATTGAGTGCTTTGTGAAAACCAGGGAGCCGCATGCAGAGATTGTTTGGGCTTTTTTTTTGCTTAAAGCAGTCAGACCTGCCCAGGGAGACAAAACAAACACAAAATACACAAACAGGGTCTTTCAGCAACGTCTCCACACTGCCCCCTAATGTCGATACGGAGCCACAAATCTGTCACCCTGTGAAATCGGTCAGGTCCAGAGCTGGCTCCATCTGGCAAGAGGCAATTCGCTGCAAATAAATTAATTTGTTTAACAAATTTCATCCTTCGCCACATCGTCTTCGCGCGAAATACAAATATTTAAATAGACCAATGTAATTTACTAACAAATATTTATTGCTGGACGCCGAAAAACAGCGGTTAGCAAAATAAGCGAACGGACACTCCGGTTACAGTGTTGATAAACCACTGTGTGAGACCTAACGCTAAAAGACCCACGCATGACGACCCGCCCTCAGTACTGTTTAAACGTGTGGCGATGTTACTTCCATGTTAGCTTTTGGGCCACAGGTACCTGACCGGTTCTCCTGGTTATTTATTCGCTCCGCAGGGTTTCTGGACGCTCACGCCCTGGCCATGGACTTCATGAGCATCGGTTTCCGGGAGTGCCTGGCGGAGGTGGCCCGGTATCTGAGCTCGGTGGAGGGTCTCGATAGCTCGGACCCGCTGCGGCTCCGCCTGGTCTCCCACCTGAACTCTTACGCCTCCCAGCGGGAAGCGGCTGTCATGACCTCGTCGGTCGCTCACCATCACCACCACCACCACCAGCACCAGCAACACCAGCAGAGGGTCCAGCAACACCAGCCGCACTGGACCGCCGCTTTCCACCAGCTGCCCTCCGCCTTGCTGCAGCACCACGGCCTCTCCGAGCTGCACCCAGGTACCGCGGTCCCGGCTCCAGGAGCAGGAGGCTCGGCTCTGCTCACTGCCACGCTGGCGGCGGCGGCGGCGGCTGCAGCTCACAGCGACACGGCGCTGAGAGGGGCCCCGTGCGGAGGAGGCGGCGGCGGGGCGGCGATGAGCGGTCGCATGCCCCCGCTCTCCACCTCCCTCCTCTCGCTGTCCGCCACCGTGCACGCAGCCGCCGCCGCCGCCGCTCACAGCTTCCCGCTTTCGTTGGGCAGCTTCCCCGCCCCGGCCGCCGCCGTGCTGACACCGGGCGGGCCGAGTCTCAGTCCGCCGGGGATCGCCGCCGTCCCGCAGAGCGGCAGTGGGGCCAGCGCCGGCGGCGGTGTGGTCGGGAAACCTTACAGACCCTGGGGCACCGAGATAGGAGCTTTCTGAACGGACGGAGGGGGATTTTAAAGACTGACACCAGTTACATTGTCCCGGGCCCCGTTCTCCCCAGCCCCATCATCCTGCCCCCAACCCCAGTCCCCTGCCCTGCCCTGCCCTGCCGGAGGGATGTTGGGGGGAAGGAGGGACACCCACAGCGGTGCCGGCACTCGCTGCAGGAAATTGCCAAGGCTAGTCCCATCCATTGCCTCTTCCCTCCAATTGCATCGGACTCCTGCTGGCAAACCTGTAGTCCAACTCAATGCATTTGAACTATTTGACCTCTGACACCTCGAACAGAAACAAACAAAAAGTTGATGAAAACAGTAAAGTAATTGCTTGAAAACACTTGCTCTCTGCAGGACCTTGGCTGATAACCCACTGCAAGAGCCACCAGTACTGTTACCAAAAAGTCGACAGCCATTCGACTCGGCAGCTTTCTTCTTTTAAATACCCCAATGTTGACTATTTTGTTTACACAAACTATAGCCAATCGACTGCGACTCACTGAAGAGATTTATCTTCAATCGGCTACTCTTTCAGCCCAGCTAGTAGGGGGAGAAAAAGCCTTCCCATATCTCCAGCAAGTTGACCATAAAGACGGTAGAGGAGTAAAGCAACCCCCTTGGTGATTTTGGACCCATCTCATTAGTAGCGCCATCTCTTGCAATTACAATATGCCTTCTCTAACTCAAGCGAGTTTCTTTTAAATGCATAGCCCACCTTTCCCTTTTGAGACTTCTTACCGCAACATGAACCAGCCTGTCAGAAACATATAGCTTGGGATGTTTGGTGGACCAATGGAATACATTTAGCTTCAGCTGTCTTGACCGCTTTTCAATCTAATATTCTCTTGGAATTCTCGAGAGCGATTTCTAGTGAAATGGGGACTTACAGCAGTCAATCACCACTAAAAACAATCGGATGGAGGAATCAGTTGCAGGAAACGCACTGAAACCAGGAATCGGCCGGTCTCTCCTAAGGTCACCGTATCTGAAGCATCCAAAACAGTAATAGCGAGTAAGCATTCTCACACCGCCGTGCCTCTCCTCTGAATGTTGATCAGATGTTAGCCTGTATTTGGTTCGGAAATGGTCAGCATCTAAGTGGACCCGATGCCATTTCAAGGAATATATTTAGTTGGGAACAAATAAGGCAATATTGTTTCATTTGTATTTCCTCGGAGAATTAGTAAAGGGCTAATTTTCAAGTTCCAAGCTGAATTTGACACTCCATACAATGCAACGGAACGTTTGATCCGATTTATGTATTATAAAATTAAAGAGCAAAACAAGAGTTACAGGACCCGATGTTAACTTCTTTGATCACTGGTCTATTGCATATATTTTACTGATGCAAATCCAAAATTTTGTTTGCCCGGATTATAAATGTCTAATCTTATTAATTAAACATTAACAGAACTGACCACAGAGTGAAAAGAATTCTTTTTGTGCTTCTTCAGATCCACCACACACAGTTAGAATGGTAATTTGATTTAAAACGTGACCTAGAGTGAGACAGTTCCTGCAAATTAACATCCATGTCTTTAAACCAGATTACACTCTATGTCTGTTTTATGGTTATGGATGTCACCAGTCATTTACAGCTCTGCATATTCAGTGTCCTCGATTTACCTTGATTTGAGATTTGTGGGGCAATGTGAACAAGGGAACAGATGCAATGTGATGGGGTTCTGATTAATTTTATGTGCTGTACTTTGCCTTCTTGATCCATTATAATACAATTGTTTTTAGAGTACATCAAGTGACCTGTCATAATTCTTTTAACCCTAAAGCTTTAAGCTAATATTATGGTACTAGGATTAATCTCTGATGCCATTCACTAATTTTCTTTCGAATTGTCCAGTGTGTTTTTATTCTAATCTGCTTGAATGTAATATTTGAAGTAATTTCTCACAGTGACTTTTTATGATATCACACTAACATGTATGTGCAATGAAGTGAGCAAAAATTATTCATACATATTTATTCAGCAGAGAAATTGTCACTTCATGGCAGCAAAACAATACCAAATTGAGGGACATTTTAGTAAATGGTTGTTAAGATCTTTAGGCAAGCAGAATTCTGACAATGAATTTACTTTTGCTGCATTTTTGTTTTGCATCACATACTTTTTCATGCCTAGAATACTTGTACTAATGCTAGATTAATAAATTCGCTCAACAATTGCTGCGGGATGATTCTTTTGGAGAAGGGGTTGTTCACAATACTTTAAGTGAAACATGAAAATTATTAATAAAATATTAATTATATGATGATCACACATTGAAAAGGAAAATGTTGTCACACAATGACTCTTAAACAGGCTGAAGTCTCACCTTTTGCTTTTGGAAATGACAGCGCTAGATGACACAGTAACTATCAAAAACTGTGAAATCTCATGTCCAGTTAAGCTTATCTGGAATTTAAAAGATCACATTCTATGACCCGGGCATTTTGTCCATTTGCATCAAATCAATTCAGTTTAAAGCTAACTTCCATTCTCCATAGCAAGCCATCGTAGTTAATACATGAACACATGCTAAATATTGCTGAATATGTATGTCCATAGCTGAAGTCTGTGGTCTGCCCTAAGTCTAGAACAGCATTTTTAAATGCGTTCATACTTCTAGGTTTGCATGCAGAAGACAATTTTGTAATAAGAAGCTTGAACAAGAAGTTTCCTGGGTGTGCAGGTACACTCTTGGATCATCCTCAGAATATGTTCCTTCACTCTGTTTTTCCAGTTACATTCCCACAGTACTAATCTGTTTCTAATACACTGTAACAAGGCTAAGCAAATGACGTATAATTTTGAGCTCTGTTGCAAATGCAGCTTATTCACTCAGTTAACTCAGATGACTTAGAAATTTATATGTAAAGTCAGAAATTAGAGCTTGTATAAAGATGAAGTACTGTAGTTAATATGTTGCACTTGAATTCTCTGCTGTGTGGAGAAGTCAGTGATAATGAATATGTTTACTGTATGCAGGAGATGATACAATATAAAATGACACTTTTGCATGTGTACCTGCATTCTGTAATCTATTATGCATTAAATGTTTCTAAATATACACTGGTTTTTACAAAAAAAAGTGCTGTTTATTCAATGTCATCTGCAATACTTTAAGAAATGTTCCCTAATTAATACTAATTATCTCAGTTACCAGTAAACAATCTGGTAACTGTTTTGTTTTCCGGTTGTTAATTATCAGAAACCAAGATTTCATTTTTTTTAAAATCACATTTGATTATAGTTAGATGTCTACACTGAATAGTAGAAATGAAGCATGAATTATATACTTCAATATCAAGACTGTAACTTGAGACATTTTTTTACATCAGCCATGTTCTATCAATATCACTATTAGTCTTCCTTTGATAGTTACCCATCCTAGATATCAAATAAGTAAAAAGTAAAGGCACCTATATTATGAGATATATAACCTCTATTATTCTCTCTGATTTTCTTAATTTGGCATTGCTTTTCCAACCAACCTTCTCTGGAAGTTGTGGAAGTCTTTCCCATTTCAGAAAAAAAGTGTCAGCTATTTATTTACATTTACATTTAACCGAAGCAGTCAAGGTTTCTCAGTGCTATATTGTAGGGTTTTATAATCCAATAGGGGGAGACATTTCTCACAAGGATGAATCAAAATGTCAATTGTGCATCTCTGAAAGGCTCGCTCAATTCAAGTGGATGCAGTCAGATCTCCTGTCCTTCCGAAGATGAAGGAATGAGTCTAATAGAGAAAAATAACCTTTAAAATGGAGGGAAATATACTTAGTTTGAGCAGTCCTTAAATATTGCAGATGCTGGAAATCAGAAACAAAAACAGAATGTGCTGAAAATATTCAGCAAGTCTGACAGCAGCTGTGGAGCGAGCAACTGAGTTAACCTTCCCAGTTGAACATGGCTCTTTGTCAGCCAATCCTTAACAACTTTGAAAAGGGACATCAATAGAGCAGTGTACGACAAGAAATTGGATCACACCTAAGTTAGGTTCGATGCTGATGCAGTGTATGTTGAAGGTACCTAATGAGACCGGCAGCTGGAACAGAGCAATCTTGTTCAAAAATTTCATTTACTTATTATCAGCATGTCCCAGGGTCCTAGAGGTAGTGCATTGTTCTATGGTTGGAGTGGAAGTAGAAGAAGGGCAGCAAGATTGAGAGTCAAATTGCCCTGATTTTCCAAGTGGGTCCAGGAGGGGAGGTAGACACTGAGAAGAGACGTTAGCAGTGGGCTGCAGTGAATTGAGATTTTAATACAATGACTGAATAAACTTTCCTATGACAACGTAAGATTAACAAAGCTTACCTTTCAGGTGGAAGCCTCCAGCACCTGAAGAAATTGACCACAGCCTGAATGCCACAAACTTCAGTCATTCACAGTCCAACTTGGCAAAGGGGCTAATGCCAGGCATGTCTCCTGAATGTTCACTGAGCATCCCTATTTAATGTTACAGGTGGCATAATTCTGACACAGTATGTATGGATATATAGCACTGCAATTTGGAGTTTGGCGCTCACATCATAAAATGGGTGTACCATTAATTAGCTATAAGTCCATAGTTTCTGAAAATATTAAGTTTTGTCACAATGTAAGGTCATTTAGTTGTGGCATGCAGCAAATAACCATGGCATAGTAATTATTACAACCACTACACTGAAATGATGTTCTGTGAGTGCTTTAGTAATCAATAGGTATCCCTACATGTAGTGTAAGGCAAATTTCCTGAAAGGAAGATCCACTCTAGTTTCAATTCTAATTACTTTCTCCATTGTGGGGGCTTGTTACATCCTCACTTTTGTGGTTTATGCTTTTCTTTAATCAAAGCTGTACTCTGGTACGCAGAGTACATATGAGCTAGTTACAGTCAGTACTTTATTCCCAAGCATTTGATCCTGGCAAGCAGGGGATTATGGGATATTCTAACAAAGTGGCCAGCTGAGATTGAGATTTGTGCTAATAAAATCAAGTGATGTAAGATTATTGTAAGACATTTTCTTTATTGTGCCTGACTGTTCTCAATTAAATATAAAATTACAGGAAAAATCAATTAGAGAAAATCTTATAAGAGATTTAAAGGATAGTGAATTGTATACAGAAGGTAAATCTGGAAAATTAATTTAAATTGAAAAATAAGAAGGTGCATGGGTTCAAACTGGACAACTGCACATTTAGGATGCTTTTCTGGGTAAAGCATTCCTAAGAAGTGAATGTGACGAGAGTTGTAGGAGACAGGTAAAAACATTAATAGTTACTTCTGTATTTAAATATTAATCTGATTAGTCACTGGTCTGTGCATACCTTGCAGTGGGAGTTGGTTTATGAAGCAATTTGATGCCGACAGCTAGGGTTCAATCTCCACACCAGCTGAGGTTACTATGAAGGACTCACCTTCTCAACATCTTCCCTGTGCCAGAGGCATGGTGCCCCTCAAGTTAAATCACCACCAGTTTTCTCTGTCTACTGACTA